GTTACATTCGTTCAGTGATACGTCCCATACCCGTCCTTTAAAATACAACCCCAATTCTTATTACGCGCCTTGTGATTCACATTTGTTACCGCTTGGTGACGTCACGGTCTCCTAGGAGCCTGCAGATGACAGTCGATATATGCTACGGATACCGCAGTGTGTTCTAGAGAAGGAAGGGACATGTTTGATGAATTCGGTTGAAAAGAAGGGAAAAACGACATGGCGTTCTTTAGCTCTATGATGCGGGAATTCGTAGAGGACCCGTTCTTCCAGTAAGTACTTTGTGCATCTGATGTGTATCGTAACTGCTATTAAAATATTCATTAACATGCTGGCGTTGATGCTTATAAAAAAACTTATATTTGGTGTCTGTGATATTAGACCGACTTTTAAATTTCAGGTAGACTATGAAATGTTATGCGAAATTTATTCACGAATACGGACTGACTGAAAATTTGAGAGACGTACAGCTAAACGTAATTCTAGAAAGTGTTTTCTACATCAGTTAGGATAGAGGTTATGTGAATGCAATGCAATTCACTCGGATTCTAAGGCCCAATTTTTTGAATTCAGGAAGCAGATACCCAGAGTTCTTCACGGTTATGTTGATCTCCCGAAATATTTCTTAATAATTTTTATAAATACGGTAAACATATATTTTAAATTTAAATAATGTGCATTGTTATTCCGTCTCTCAAAATACAAATAATGATAAAAAACCATTTTTATAACATTGACCAATTGAATTTAGTCCATATTACCACCACTTGTTTCTTCATTATACACCTATTTTCCCCTTTAAAATTTCCGAATACAATTTTTACATGTTTGTTACCGCTATCATGCGTGCTACAAGTTTCGCCCATATTATCATTCTTGATCTGATCACCCTAAACAAATATTTGGTGAGGTGTACAAACCTTTAAGCTCTTCATACAATGGAATTAGTCAAACAGACTAAAACTTTGGTTAGTTTAGCGAGTGTACAAAAACGTTGTATTGAGAAATGGAGTTTCTGTGAAACGAAGTTTCTCCATTTAAAATCCAAAAATATGGAAGGAGGAAGCGACATAGTGTGTCAGGATGTTACAGTCTCGGCATAATTCAGTAAAAATCCCAGCGCTTCAGCTTGAAGCCTGTGAATTTCATACAGACTGACCCGCCCATTAGAAGTGTCGGAGAAGTTGCCGATGATACGGCGTTTTATTGCGATTCAAACATTCTAGACAGCGTTTGCTACAAAACGTTCCTTTATTAATCGTGTATTATGGCGATAAACTCCAGCTACTGGTAAACAAATCTTTCTTGTTGCCATTTAGGATAAAACACTTGAAAAAGATCAGATACCATAATGATCTTACTCTTCTGGGCTGTAAGTAAAGCGGTGTGGACTCTTAAGTAGGAACCAACATTTGGGGCAAACATAGTCTGGAAGTCTTCTGGGTTGTAGCGTCATATAGGCAGAAGTTTATCGACGTTTCAGAGGTGGTTGCTGCCCCCAACAGGGCTATGAGAAAAATACCCTGCAACATCGTCTTCGCAGCATCAGAACCTCAAATCTCACGAATGTTATTTATTTTCGTTACCAGCCCCACTACGACGCACTCGGGTTTTCACCAGGTGGCCCGCATGATGGATTCGCTGATCTTAGACTCATTATCGCCCTATACTTTCACCAAGATCACGACGACTCATAGGCCCGTGCGGGGCAACAGCTCCAGACGCTCCACGGGTACCCAGCATCCCAGACAGAGGGCAGGACCCGTTAAGGCACAACACCCATCTCAGCAAGGTATGGTCCTTTCCAGAACCACAGCGTTCATGCTGGCATAGGGCAAAATTTCTTTGAAGCGCAGAGTTGTTCTGATCATTTAAGCAAAGTCTTCATTTGGAGTGTATATTTTCTGAATGTTTGTCCTACCGACTTTGGAGCACATGTAACACAGATAAAAATCTGATGTAATGCTAATCGTGTTTGTTTTGTTACCTTTTGTGTCCTTCGCCGTTCATTATATTAAATAATGTTTGAAATAGAAGTTGCATGTCGTATTTTATATTCTATGCTAATTTATTTTCCTGTGAACCGACTGGAAAAACAGTAATTTATATTTAAACTTCATGTTATAATGACTGCTATCAACAAAAATAAATAACCCCACAAATTTTAGTGAAAACTTCGTTACTAAATTTAATAGAAATCCGTCTCGGGGTTTCGGAGATGAAACATGAAAACTGAGAGCCAATCTCGACAGTCGCACGTTCATTTCGAGGGCTTTCTTTAGAGGACGGATAAGAATATTTACAACTGCAGTTGCATAGACCCTCTAAAGACGATTGCATGTCAGTCAAGTTATGAATCTTGAAACAGCATGGTTGCATGCGACGACTTGGACGATGGCCTTGCTGTTACATTTTAAAAATTCATACCCTTGAATTTTGTATCGAGTTCTGTTGTCCACTTTACTCAGGGTGAAATCAAATGGTAGCGGTCAAGATTCGTGAAATTACAGTCATACTTTTTTGTGACATTCACTTAATGAACGACGCGGCTTCGGCTGTCCGTATAGTTCCACACGAGACAGGGAAATGACCATGAAATGTAAGTAGGTGGGATTTTGGAAAGGGACGGTCGAAGCTGATTTGAAGGTCGTCATTCTCTTGGACAGACTTAAGGACAGCCAATAACCCTACCGACATTCAAAGCGGGTATCTCCTTGATACAAGTCTGGAGTATTGCTCTATCCCATGTCAATATACTAACAGTTTTCAAGTTGCAGGAGAAACTGCCTGGAGTTGGAGCAGGAACTTGACTGATTCCATGGGAAACTGTCGTGAGTGATGCTTGAAGGTCAGTTTCTGATGTAATTTGATCCACAGTAATGGTGCTAGTAGGAGAACATCACTGTTTCAGAGCCCCATCAATCTACCGGGGGCGCAGACTCCGGAGGACACAATAAGACTCCCTCCAACTCTCCCCCGACTGCGTCTGACAAATGGGTGGCGTCTCTCCGAAGACGTGACCCGGAGATTCAGCCGGCCCTGCCAGCCATCAATCCCAGGGGGCGGTGAGCATTGACGCTTTCAAATTGCTTTATTTGTTGAATTGGGTAGGGCTGGCGTGAACTACTGGTTGACTAAGAAATGGACTGAAGGAATTTGGAAGGAAGTGATCATATATTTTGCCTGGTATTGTTAGAGTAATTAAGCGAATTTTGTGCAGAGAACCCATGCAAATGTATCGTAAAAAATAAATGACGAAGTTGTGAACCACATTCAGTTGTTTGTGATATAATTTAGTTTCCAGGATATGTGAATTCGGCGATTAACCTTCGGACTGCTTAAAAGCAGGGGACTTCTAGCTGAGTAGCTCTCAACTGCTGTAGTTAGTACGAAACTGGCCCGCGGGCCGTGGATGGTGTTGCCTTTGCAGGAGCTCCAACTTCAGCGTGACCACTAGTCGCAAATCGAGGTCCGTGGACCGGCTGCCGCGTCCCGGTAAGGACCGGACCAAAGGGACAGGACAAG